TTTTGGACTGCCCTTAGAGTGGTACGGAGCAATCTTGGAGGTCCTAAGACTTGGGGGGAATTGCACTCCTGCCTGAGCCCAGTCTACGCCGAAGCAGGACCCTTTTGGTCCAGCTGTGGGGCTACTGCTTTTGGGATCTGGGGCTGGACAGAGCGATTCTCCAGCATATGGAAGGGTTGATTTGAGGGAGAGCACTTCCTGCAAAAATATCCTTTTTGGTGCAATCAGACCCTATCCTTTCCTTCTGTCTGGTCACACCTTAAGACTTATTCCGTCCATTGACAAAAAACCCCCCCAAAAAACGGTCACACCTTAAGACTTATTCCGTCCATTAGCAAAAAAACCCCAAAAAACAAAAACACACACACACACAAAAAAAAAACACAGTCATTTAACATGAAGAAGGGATTTACAACTTTACTTTTGTAAATCCCTTTAATCCCTCTACTCTAGCTGAGATCAACTGCCATTGGTAGCCGGTTGTTCTGATCAACCTAAAACAGCCACCAAACCCTCAGTTTTGCGCTTCCGCTCTTCAAGTAGGACCCTCATGTCCTTGGGATCTGTATGCATGATTTGACTTCTCCGCTCTCTGAAAATATTTAAAATATTAGAAGAAAAAAACTAGAAATATGTATTATCACGATGTGTCTACCAGAACTCACCACTAGAGGGGGACCATGGTATGTATTCTTGTTGTTGAAAAATACATAGCATGGTCTCTGGCTCCCTCTATTGGCCAATCCAGGTAATACATGGCAAAAAATACTTTGTTCTGGATTAGCATGGTCTGTGGCTCCCTCTATTGGCCAATCAAGGTAATACATGGCAAAAATACTTTGTTCTGGATTTTTTTTCAAACTACCTTGTTTCCCCGAAAATAAGACAGGGTCTAACATTAGTTTTTGCTCCAAAAACCCATTATGGCTTATTTTCAGGGGATGTTTTATTTTTTCCATGTACAACCATCTAGATTTATTCAAATGCAGTCATGCCATGTTCTTCTGGTTGCTGCGCAAGGGTGGAGGGCGGGTTTTCACTTAACTGGACTTATTTTCAGGTTAGGTCTTGTTTTCGGGAAAACAGGGTATGTATCACATTTACTGTTATCTATTCACTATTATCCGTGGTTTTCAGCATCCACAGAAGGACGGCTTGGAAACAATTCCCCTCTGAATACGCGGGTCCTACTGCATTTATTATTATTTTATTATTTATTAATAATTTTATACCACACCATCTAGTGGTCTTGCCACTGGGATGTTTATCCTAGGGAGAGATGCTTTGAGAGGTAGCTATTTAGAATATTTCAGAAGGCATACTGGATTTGTTTAACCTGCTCTAATGCCATCCAGTCTGAAAAGAGAGCTAGCTTTCCACTTTGCTAATTATACTGGAATCTGTTGAGTTGTCTTCCCTTATAAATCTGAAATCTAACAGATGGTAGTTGGTGGTAGTAAAGAATTAAAGAACGATGCCAGTGAGTTTCTGAGTCAGGCAGAAGGGTTCCACAGTTACACACACACACACACACACAAATACACACACAATGAAAAGAGGAAATCATATGTTTTTTTAGATCCACACAAGAACAGAAGAAAAAGAAAACAATAGAAGAGAGAGAACAGGTATAGTTTGCATTTCTGTACATCATGGAAGGGAAGACACTCGAAAAGTAACCGGGGGTGGGGGGGACACCCCATAGGGATGTTCTACCGGAGGTCCCCAATGCCACCCCACCCCCCCACTTTCCTTGCTTTTTTGACCAAGCAAGAAATCGAACTTTTATATTACCGCCTTTCAAACGGGAAGCTAAAGAAAAACACAGAGCAGAATTAAAAGGAAAAACACAGAAGTCTGCTGGAAGGCCACCGGCCCATGGAGAAGGCGCAGCTTGTTTGAAAAGCATGGCCCTGCAGGAGGGCAGGGGGAACCGGGAGAAGGTTTGAGAGGCGAAGCACAGCCAGGGGTGTGTGTGTGTGTGTGTATGTCTGTGTGTCTGTGTGTGTGTGTGTCTGTGTGTGTGCCTGCCCGAGCTGGCTGGGGCTGATGGGAGTTGCTGTAGAAAAGTGGGTGAGGATGCCAGTGGTGTGTGTGTGTGTGTGTGTGTGCGTGCGTGTGCGTGTGTGCGTGTGTGCGTGTGCGTGTGTGTGTGTGTACACTACAGCCTCTCAGGTGCCTGCCCGGGCTGGCTGGGGCTGATGGGAGTTGTCGAAAAGCGGGTGAGGGTGCCAGGCTGGGGGCAGTTGGCGTCGACCTCAGCTCTGAGAGATCTCGGCCCGGATTTTGGACGGTCCTATTTTCCAGACCGCAAAGCACCGCATTCTCCAAAAAAATTGGGACAGCCCCCGATGTGTGTGTGTGTGTCTGTGTGTGTGCCTGCCCGAGCTGGCTGGGGCTGATGGGAGTTGCTGTAGAAAAGTGGGTGAGGATGCCAGGCTGGGGGCAGTTGGCGTCAACCTCAGCTCTGAGAGATCTCGGCCCGAATTTTGGACGGTCCTATTTTCCGGACCGCAAAGCACCGCATTCTCCAAAAAACTGGGACAGCCCCCGCCTTGTGAGGCCGCTGCCCCTGGGTGTCTCTCCTAGACGGGGAGCAAAATGTGCGGAAAGACGCAAACCCAGAGCAAGGAGCGGCAGAGGAGGGGGCATGCGATGCAGCCCCCTCTCCCGATGGAGTTCTCTGGCTGGACCCCTGAAGCAGGGAGGCCTTTGGGCCGCCCCTCCCGAGGATCCCTTTGCTAGAACAGCGACTCCTGCAGAGAGACAACGGGGCAGGCCCCGGTTTCTGGAAAGGTTTCGTATCCGGCTTTGCCTCTCCCGATGGAGTTCTCTGGCCGGACCCCTGAAGCCGGGAGGCCTTCGGGCCGCCCCCCCCGAGGATCCCTTTGCTAGAACAGCGACTCCTGCAGAGAGACAACGCGGGGGCCCCGGGGGGGGGACATGGAACGGGGCTCAGCAACCCTTCTGCAGGCGCCTCGTGGTATCTGAGCAGCTGATGACTGGGCACACGAGCCACCCTCTCACGGCATACGGATCCTGACCCGTACACTTCAACACCACGTTTGGGAGCGCGCGTCTATGTGTGGGCTGGACTTTACCCCACAATGAGGATGAGAATGGGACCAAAAGAAAAAAAAATCACTGTAGTACAGAGATGCACACATATGATAGATAGGATGGAGGTGAAGCTATGACTGGGAAATAATAATGATGATGATGATAATGATGATGAACCCCTATACCGAGGGTTTCAGGAGTGTCTTTATAAAGTCTTTTCAGAAGGACATACCAATAATCATGTCTGTTCATCTGCAAGGCTGCCAGAGATTTCGAGGTAACAGGGAGAGCGGGAGGAGGGGAGGAGGCGAGAAAGAGAGTCAATGGGTGTTGAAAGGGGACCTCGGGGTGGGCAGGACCCCATCACAGCTTGGGGGGGGGGCTTAAAAACGACGTTTCCTTTCCACTCCTCTCAGGTTCTAGCGCAGACTGTTGATTCCTCAGCTATGGTTCTGAGGCGAGCAGTATGCAGATATTGTCCAACATCCTATGGTTGCAAAAGAGCCCCCTCAGCTGTGGACTCGGGACCCCACAACCCCATAAGCTCAGCATGTCGAGCGGGCTGAAGGTCCTAGAAGACTTGGCCTCTCGTCTTTCAGTCCACTTGTAATTTAGTTCTCAAGCACTGGATAGGTTGTGCGTATCTGTTTTTCTGGTAGAATCGTTGTTCAAGTTTGGACTTCTTTGCCCAAGAGTTGTTTAATGAAGAGGGGTGTGTGTGTGTGTGTGTGTGTGTGTGTGTGTTTCTACTGACTACAGGAGGAAAAGTGGGAGAGAGGGGGGTTTTTTCAGCTTCTGATTGGGTTTGGTGCTAAATTGCCTACCTTTTTTTATAGTACACCTGGTTATTGAGGGTCCTCCTTGCACAGAGTCAGATTGTTCATCCATTTAGATCAGTATGTTTTATACCAGGTATCTCCAGAAATGTGTGTGTGTGTGTTGTGTGTGTGTGTGTGTGTGTGTCCTTGTGTGTTTCTGGACCCCAGAGGGCCACATGGAGACCTCTACCTCCCAATGTTCCCTCCAAAAATACCCTTATTTTTTTTAACAAAAAACAATATCTGGCACCTTCTGGTGACCATTATTAGAAAAATAAAATCGGGATGTGCAGGGGAGAACTTGGGGTGGTGGTGGCCTTCAAAACATGTCCAAAACTACCCCCGTGTCCCTAAGGGGATTTAAAGAGGTATTTTTTTAAAATTAAAAAAATTTTTTTTGAGGGGCAGAGGGCTAGGAAGGATGCCGGCAGCCTGCAGACCATGTGTTGCCTACCCTGGTCTATTGTGACATTCAGTCTGTACAGAAGGAAGCTTTTTCCTGATACTCGAAACCGAAATCTGGCTTCCTGTCACTCAAGCCCATGATGACCTGTCCTGCACTCTGGGATGATGGAGGACAGATCCTGCCCCTCCTCTGAAGGACTACCTTTCAAGTCTCTGTAGAGTGTTATTCTATCTCCCCCTCCCTCTTCTTTTCTCCAGGCGAAACCTGCCCAGTTTTTCTGGTCTTTCCTCCTCCCAGGGCTAGGGGTGTCCAGTCCCCTGATCATCTTTCTTGCTCTCCTCTGAACAGGCTCCAGTTTGTTGGCGCTGTGCGAGACGGAGTGTGTGAGTGTGTCTGTGTGGGCTTATGAAACATGCTGCGCTCACTTCTCTGCTCCTTTCGGTGGACCAGATTTGCCGGCAACCCTGCCCGGTCTGAGAAGAGCACTCCGCTCTCCTTCCATCATCAACTGGACCATCTTACAGAACCGCCCTAACACAATCCGGCCTTTAAGGAGGGGAGGATTTCCCAGAGAGGCCCCTTCGGACCTTGAGCTGTTGTTGTTCCTCGAAAGAGGGGAGTGGGAGGGAGGCCGTGAGGAAGGTGGGGAGGGGTTGTGCCGGGGAAGGAAGAGAGGGAGGAGCGTCCAACCACGATAGAATCAGAAGCAACCATACCTCCGTTTTTTTCTCGGCGAGAGGCCCGTGGCTGTGTCGGCCGTTCTGGGCACTGCCCTTGTGCCCGTTTTGGTGCGGGGTGGCGGATCGGCTGTGGCCGGTGCCGGAGGAGGACGGACTCTGGCTAGACTGGTGACTGCTGGCCTTCTGGCCTTCCTCCCTATAGTCTGGGCTCAACCTGCAGGCAGAAAAAGGGGCTGGTGGATCATGGGTTTGCGTGTAACCGGAGGAAAAACAATAACAGGCGCTTTCTAACCACAAACTCTGCTTCGTGGCAGTAATCTTGGTCTACAGCACACACCAGGTGTTTCCCTGGGCTTCCCATCATCCCCGGCATCCTGTGGGAGAATCATGTTATAATCCAAAGTCTCTGGTGGGTCCTGGGTTGCAGAAAGCTGCACTTGGCTCTACAGTAGGACGCCGGTATCTAAGGGATCGGTATCCACAATTTCATTGATCCATGTTCTGAAAATGTTAAAAATATTTTAAAGCCCCTAAACACACATTTCCACAATGTAACTACCAGAACTGGCCACTAGAGAGAGCCAGAAACAATGTTTTATATATGGGGTTCACTATTATCCACAGGTTTTTTATCCACTGGCAGGGGGTACGGTTGGAAGCAGTCCCCCGCAGATATCCACTGGCAGGGGGTACGGTTGGAAGCATTCCCCCGCACAGAGATCCTACTGTACCTCAAATACATCAGTTTTTTTTAAACTGGCCTTCCCTCCATCCAACCTGGCAAAACTCACTTTAGCTGCCCAGCACCTAATCTGTTGCTGTGCCAATGGGCTAAGGGTCACACCAGATACAATGCTGAACGCATACTCCCAGTGCTTTAACTGCTCCCTGCCCTCCAGAACAACACTGGCTTGAAGGCAAGGGTCTCAGGGACCAGGCTTGCAAAATGAAGGCCACAATTACCATCTACTGTAATGACTAAACAAAGCACACTAAATGCAAGATACATGGGTGAAGAAAAGCAGGTTCAGGGATAAACCTCTAGAGGGAGCACATCTTCCAGAAATGGACTAAACCAGTGGTTCTTAACCTTGGGTAACCCAGGTATTCTGGGACTGCAAATCCCAGAAGCCCCAACCAGCATAGCTGGTGGAGAAGGCTTCTGGGAATTGCAGTCCAAGTACAACTGGGTTACCCAAGGTTAAGAACCACTGGACTAACCAACCACCTAGCATTATTTTTGGAAGATGTCTAGGTATCCCTCTAGAGCTGGAAGGCCATTCAGTTTTTGATTTAAGTGCTAAAATTGTGACCCACTTTGATTTCAAGTCGAGACGTGTACAATCATCAAACTGCAGCTGGCTACCTTAAATGCTGGGTTAAACGCGCAGCATGCTGCTGGTCCTCAATGTTTCCCCCCTTCCAAAGCAAGCATGCGGGGCTCAATAGAGCTCATGATCCCCATGCAAGAAGAAAGCCAGCCTAATTCATTTCCTTGCAGCTGTTCACCCCTCAAACCCAGTAACTCCACAGTAGCCCAAAGGGGGGCAGAAGACTGAAGACCATTGCAGGAAACTCAAACCTACCGGCTTGTTGATTTGCAATCGCTGTAATCGGAGGAGAGGGAGGCACTGCGGGAACTGCAGCTACTGCGTCGGTGGGAATGCCTGGCCGAGGACTCACTGTGGGACCTGTCAGAGGAGGGAGAGAAGCCAAACATGGGGCCTCCAACTCAAAACATCCTGACCCAGGTAGCCTGGGGTGCTAATTGCCAGGTTCTGGACCACCCAGAGCTCCCGTGAGCCTCTGTTTGTTGAGTCCCGATGAAGAGAGAAAGCCCCTGGTGCCTTAGAAGGCTTATTGTACAGTAGGACCCTCTTATCCACGGGATCAGTATCTGCTGATTCACTTATCCATGGTCTGAAAATATTAAAAATATTAAAAGAGAAATCCTCCCCAAAATACCGTATTTTTCGCACCATATGACACACTTTCCCCCCACAAAACAGGGGGGGTGGAAAGTCTGTGCGTCTTATGGAGCGAAGAAAACAGATTATATTTTCCTGTTTTCTTCTAAAAAATTGGTGCGTCTTATGGAAAGGTGCGTCTTATGGAGCGAAAAATACGGTATATTTTTAACAATGAAGTTACCAGAACGGGCCATTAGAGGGAGACAGAGACCATGCTATGGATAGTGTTCCGTATTAAAACAATATTCTGTGGTTTTCAGCATCCATGGGAACTTGGAACGGATCCTCTGTAGGTACAGGGGTCCCTATTGTAGAGGCACTGGACACAGACATAACATGACACAGTACCGCTATGGGGAAAACACACAGAGACACCCACACATTGGGGACACCCAGCTGGGTGTGGTCCTTATGGAGGCCTGGAGAAGGTCAGCCTCTCTTCCCTACCATGGCAGAGGGGCTATTCTTGACTCTGGATACCCCGGGAGGAAGGCCGCAGCTGGAAGGCCATCTGGCCTGGCCTAGGCCTAGTTCCTTCCTTTTTGAACAGGAAGCCAGGTAGATCTAGGCTGGGGTAAGCCACAAAGCCAGCCAGCCAAGGCCTTTCACCAAGGTGAGCCACATTGAGGGGTCTGCACGCGTCTGCCTGTCAGGTGGAACTCCGGAAAAGAAGAATTATGGGATTTTTAGACAACAACAACAACAACAAAAGGAAGGAAGGAAGAAAAAGAACTGCCCATCCTGAATAGCGGTAGATCTTTTCTTTCGGGCACATCATGTTTTCATGGGGAGGGGGTGTCGTGGGGTTTGATTCCCCTTCCCACGGTTTAGTTTCTTGTTCCCCAGATATGTCGAGGCTGCAAATTTCACCACCCTCTGCCCAAAGATTTTTAAAAGAGAGAGAACATCTTTCTTGCATGCAATATATTTAACAGGGGGCAGTAATCTATTAAGACCATAACAGAAATCAGGTGCGTGTCTCTCTGTTCTGGAAGTCCCCCGACCCCGTTGTGCGACTGATCATGCAACCGATGTCACCACCAGTGTGAGGCTGAGCAGGTGTCATTCCCCTGGATTTAAGATTAGCTAAGATAGTTCAGGACAGGGGTACCAAATCGTCAAGCAATGCAACCGATGTCACCACCAGTGTGAGGCTCAGCAGGTGGTCACTCCCCTGGATGTAAGATTAGCTAAGATAGTTCAGGACAGGTGTACCAAATCGTCAAGCAAAGTAGGTCTCCCTTATCCGTGGGATCAGTATCCACTGAGTCACTCATCTACGGTCTGAAAATATTAATAGAAAAATCCTAGAAATACTGTATGTATTTCTATGATGTCATTACCAGAACTGGCCAGTAGGTGGTGCCAGAAACCACACATTGTATATTGTTTGCTTTATCGGCATTTTTCAGCATCTGGTGGGGGAGACTTAGAACTGATCTCTCGTGGATATGGGGGCCTTAAGGTACAGTGGTTCCCAAGCTTGGGTCAACCCAGGTGTTCATACACACACACACACCCCATATGTGCCCAAATAAAGGCATACCAACTGGTCCCCACCCTGCCTGGGACCTTTTCTGCAAGCACCTCCACCTATGTCGAAGGCAAGATTTGTGCATTTCCAGATCTTAGTAGGAAACCTTATTCCTTCAAAGGGGGAAACCCAAACAGGTGGAGGGGGGTTCCATAGAACCACCAGAAATTCTTCTGGCAGAAGGATTTGCCTGCTGCCAGCTCAGAGGACTCAAGAAAAAGAGAAGCAAGGAGACAAGGAGGAGGATCCTTGGCAGTGGTTCCACTGCACCAGCTTGGAGAGAGAGAGAGAGAGAGAGAGAGATTGAAGCAGGAAGGGGCAAAGAGACAGACAGACCCTCCTGCCCAAAAAACTAAGTTCTGATCTCACCCAACGAATACGGGCACTCATTTAGATCTATCAGGTACGCCCAGTCCTAACAGTGTAATTAATGAAAACCAAGGGGTGAGCCAAGCAATACAGAACACCGAGGTAAGTCCCTCCTTTCACATGGCAGTTTTAGAAAGAAATGCAGAACGTAGCTGCTAAAGTCTGGTAGCCTCACAGAGACCGTTCCCAGCAGCTCAGCACACGAGACATCTCGGGCTTCTTGGGAGAAAGGGTAAAACTCTCCCAACTTCTTTCTCCTTTGGTGATGGAGAAAGCCTCCACCTTATAAGGTATGGATACTTTCGGTTCCTCTTTCTTGGCTCTTAACTGCATGGCAGCTGTTTTCTTTGGCTGTTTTCATGCCTACAAAACAGTGAATTAAATTGGATGGATCGGTGGGGGATGATGCTCCACCCCATGAGTGGCCCCCAGGATCTTTGCTCTGCCCCACAATCTCCACTGTGACACAAATTAACGTGATTGAGTTAGTGTTGTGGCATTTATCTTCATATATCACACACTCTGCCTGTACAGTAGGTCCCCTGTATCTGCAGGGGCAGTTCCAAGCTCCCCCCCCAACAGATGCTGATAAATTCAGATTATAGTGAACACTACACATTGCATGGTCTCTGGTTCCCTCTAGTGGCCAGTTCTGGTAATGATATCATAGAAATATATTTCCCTAGTGAATGCTATACACTTCATGGTCTCTGGCTCCCTCTAGTGGTCAGTTCTGGTGACTTCACCTTTAGAATATATATATATTTCTCAGATTTTTTCCTTTTAATATTTTCAGACCGTGGATAAGTGAATCAGCAGATATTGATCCTGAAGATAAGGGAGTCCTACTGTATTGCATCCCCTATGTTCTCAGAGATGTTGCCAGGATAGATCAGGCACGATACGTAAAACAGAACCCTCTGCTTTCACTCTGTTACATAGAGTAAGAGTTATCCCGTATCCTCACGACTCAGATTTCAGACACTGCCCTATCTGTGTTTCATGGGCCGCCGTTGCTGGAGAAGCCACAGGTAGACCAATCTTACCTAGGAAGCCTTTCTGGACGAGGGGAATGGAATGGAATTCCCCAACGGCCGGGGAATTCTAGGTGTTTTCAATACTGCAGACCTTGATGGATCCCACCCTTGGTCTCCCAGCCTTACGGGGATGGAAATGAGAATCTCACCTCTTTCTGTCTTTGCTTTTCCCTTTTCTTTTGTTCTTGAGACTTCTGGACCTAGGAGATAGCAGAACACTGAACATGTAGGAAAACAGAGAGAGAAAGAGAGAGAGAGAGAGAGAGAGAGAGAGAGAGAGGAATGTGCACAGATAAAAACAGACCAAAGCACTGGTCTCAATTTCTGGGCCTACTTTCCAGAATCCTCTATGCTACTTCTAAATTCTCCCTCAAGCATCCTCTCTCCCCCAGCTTTTTCCGTTGCTGCTTGTGAGGGCTGGAGCTTGGATGTCTCGTTTTCACATCCTTCTCAGGGTCCTCAGAGGGTCAAAGAAGACGTTCCAGGGAACACTCACACCCCCTCCCTGGAGCCTAGATTCTTCCCTCCATGAGGTTTTCGTCTGAGGTTGGTGCCTCAGCCATCAGACCTGCAAAGTAAGCCCCGGTTTACCGTCCAGTTGCCATTCACAAAACAAAGCACGCTAAATGCAAAAGAGGGAGGTGACGGGAAATCACATGCTACAACAAGCAGGTGTATTTCTTTACTGGGGAGGAGCCCTTCTGTGAAACACTGCACAGCTGTGACCTGTGTTGTCCCAAAACCTCAGGGTGAGTCCATGCAGCCCCTGCTTGCTGTGTTGGAAATCAATGCCAAAGGGGTCATAGGTGGTGGTGACACTCAGCGTGAGTGGCCCTACACCTCTTCCCCTCCCTATGATGTTGCATTTGATGCTTAATTCTAAAACCTGGCATCCCATCACCTTCTTGGCCAAAGTCCCAGAAAAAGGTCCTCTTAGGCAATGGGGAACAAATCTGTATGTTTTTTGGCCACCAGAAGGTAGATCCCAGTTTGTCTGGCTACTGATGGCTGGTGAGAACTGTTCTGGAGTGAAGAAGATGTGCGTGGGACAGGAAGCAGTGGAGTGTGGGGGAATCTACACCGTTCGCCCTCACCTGTGCCTCCTCTTCTTACGTGCTCCTGATGCAGACCTGCTGGGCAACCAGTGAGAGGAAAAGAAAAAGAAGGTGGGAAAGGGGGTGAGGACAGACATTGGTCAAGGGGGTCAATGAAAATTTAACCGCGGAAGATCTAAAAGCCACATCTTTCATGTTCCACCAGATTCCAGCACGACCAGAACACAAGACCCAAGGTAAGTGGGCAGTGCAAATTATACCAAGATGGACGCTTCATCGTTGAGGTTCTCCAGGGAAAAGATTAACCTTCAGGAAAGAGAGGGGAAATTCCTTTCTGCGATTACAACCCCCGCCCCCAAGTCCTGCAGCTCAAGACACTGCTGGCCATGCCAACCACGAAATTTTGGAACTTGCAGACCAAGGGAAACAACCCGGAACTTTTCCCATCGGTGGCCTTCAGCCCCCCCTGGAGAACGCTTCAGGGTGTCAGACAAGAATGGCAAGTTAAACGTCCAAGGGTCATCTTAAAGTGGTGAGATTTGGGCCAACCCAACTGAGCGAGGTTGTGGTCTATCGCCGTCAGAGCCTTGGGGAAGGCTAAGCCACACCAGTAAGGCAGAGAGAGGCACCCCCCTGCCTCAGACAACAGGCACTGGGGGCCAGCCCTTGAGTTGCTCCTGGCTGTTCCCTGGACCTCCCAGTTTGGATATAAAACTTGGCGTGCCACAAAAGGGTCTCAAGCTGGTTGGTGTGGTGTTACCCCATGGGGCTGTCCCGTGGCTGTCCTCCAAGTAAAGGCAAATGCTGTTTCCTATCACCTTCCTGAGGGGCACCATTGGGTCTTTTGCCTCAGGCAGCAAAATGGCCGGGTCAGCGAGCTTGGGAAACCCCCATGAACAGGAGGCTGTTAAGAGGAAGGGAGAAGCGGAGGAGGAGGGCAACAGAGAACAAATCTGGTTCCACTGGTAAACATTGAGCAGGTGGGCAAGAGATGACCCCGCAGCTACTTACCTCTCTCTTCGATGTTTTTTCCCAGTTTTCTTCTTTTTTTCTTTCCGGGCTGGGGAAGAGCTATCCCCACTACCAATGAAAACAGAAACAAGATGAGAGACATAAACATTTAGATAGATATATAGAGACATCCATAAAGATATATGGAAAAATATTTTAATTTTGCGGTACAAAGGCAGGGAGCTCACCTGCGTTCGGATCCAGGCTTCCTTTTTTTGCTGGGGTGGCAAGACAGAAAACAGACAAAGCAGGGGTTAAGGAGAGACACTTCTCAAAAAGGGGGGAAGGTTCGGGTAAAGATGGTCGCAGTCTAAAAAAGGGAGACCTGGGTCTAAAACGAGAGACCTGTCAGGTCAGCGTTGTAGTATAGTGATCAAGCCAGCTTTAGAGTGGTTCGTGCATGAGACCGCAACAAGCTTAGAGTGAGTTCATTTCCATCTTCTAAGAAACCTAATCATCCTCATTTGTTTCTAGTCCCGGTGGACCTCAGAGCTTCAGTTTTTGAACAAAGAAACTCTGAGGACAGGTTTCAAAGAGAGGCCCACTGAGGAGGAATACATCAGAAGGTTCAACATGCAGTCCATAGGCTTAAACAAAAACAATGGTTTTCTGTGTCATGATATATACTATTCTAATCATCTGTCAGACCCTAACCACCACCACTGTGATGGATCACTCCCTACTGAGAACAAGAAGGTAGGCCAACAGTTTTAATCTTCTGCCAACAGTTTTAACCTCCCCCCAGAGACACAGCCACTCCATTCATCTGAAAAAGTGTGCTTGGACACACAAAAGCTTATGAAAAATAAAATTTTAAAAAACTACTTAGTCTTATAGGTGCTAGAAGACTTCTCCCAAGAAAAAGAGAAGCAGGAGGCAGCGATCACAAATTTGGGGCAGGGCACCACAATGCCAGTCAGGAAAGACACATCTTAGTGTCCAAAGGTGAAGGTCTAACCTAACTACAGTACAAGGATGGAGGTGTTTGTTTGCATAGAAACATACACTCCGTCCTGGTAGTGGAACTCACAAAGTTGTTGTTTTTAATGGAGGAGGAAAGGCAAAGCCCAGGAAATAAGTTACACCAGTGGACGTTCTGAACGTTGTACTAGGGGTGTTTGTGAAAACAGCATTGCAAAGACATGTTGATAGAAAGTGGTGATGTCAGTGAGAGACCCTGCTCACAACTGGAGTGTGTAGGAGAGATCTTGGACACCACTGGGTGGTGAAGCGGTCAGTCTCCCTCTTTTGACACCATCTCAGTGTCTTCCCTATAGACGATATTTTCATTATTCCTTTCCCCAATTTTTTTAAAAATCGCATGGTGACTTATTTAACAGTTTTACCCCCACCAATGTTGTATTTAACGCACAAGACCCGCGAGGGCTGCCGCCTCCACCCTGGTGAGGGCCCCAGGCTCTTTGCTCTGCCCTGCGGCCATCCCAGAAATGCACGGATCCATCTGATTCACTTGGTGTTTCAGCATTCAGCTGTGAGGATCTGTAGGATCACAACTGGTGCTGGTTATAAGACCTAATGTCTCCTTCATTCTGTGTCTTTGGAAGGGTTATTCATCCATCGTTGTATGCGGCCTGTATATATCTTATGCAGCATCTCTTTTCTAATGAAAGGCTAACACCTTTAAGCCTGATCATTATCCTTTACAAATTGTTTCAGTGCTTAATATGAGGGGAAAGATGATCAGCGGTCAGGAGGCCGGGGATGAATGGAAATTAGCCAAACAGATGGCCTGAGGGATCTTTAAACTGGCAACATGATTGAGGGTGCCTCAGCTCATGTGAATCACTATGAAATTTTTTTCCTCTTGCAAGAGAGAAGATTTACAGTAGGACCTCCATATCTAAGCCCCCCTGCAGATGATGAAAGCCATGGATAATAGCAAACACTATTCATAGCATGGTAAAAGAAAAAAAATCTAGAAACATGTATTTTCGCATGTATTGTCAGAATGGGCCACTAGAGGGAAGCAGAGACTACTATTCATAGCATGGTAAAAGAAAAAAAATCTAGAAACATGTATTTTCGCATGTATTGTCAGAATGGGCCACTAGAGGGAAGCAGAGACTATGCTATGTGCTCTTCAACAACAAGAATACATAGCAAGGTCTCTGCCACCCTCTAGTGGCCAGTTCTGGTAAATACATTGTGAAAATATATGTTTCTAGTTTTTTTAAAAAATATACATATTTTAAAGCAAGGTCTCTGCCACCCTCTAGTGGCCAGTTCTGGTAAATACATTGTGAAAATATATGTTTCTAGTTTTTTTAAAAAATATACGTATTTTAAAAATATTTTCAGACCGTGGATAAGTGAAATTGTGGATACTGACTACATGGATACAGGGTTCCTACTGTGTGCTCTTCCTGTCGGCGGCAGCAATGGCAAAAAACTGTTTTAAAAAAACTAAACTGCATCAATGGCAATGTGTGTATAATGGCAACTATGGAAGCAGCTGCAGGGATGCAGAAGAGGTGTGCGTGACCAGACACGCAACCAGCCCTGTGACTTGGCAGCCTTCCAGACTCTCCACATCAAGGCCCCCGGCGAGAGCCATGCTCCCTCCAGAGCCCCTCCCGCTCCCATATTTATTTATTTTTAAACAAATCCATTTTTATCCCGAGAAAGCGCCCTTGCGCCACCTAATGGTTAAATGTTTTTAACAAATTACAAAACGTCGAGGGCGATGGTGGTTTGGAAGCTATTGCTTCACACGTCCTCTAGAGGGGCCAAGAGAGCTCCTGAATCAAACCCATTACTGTATTACTATTATTTTTTTCAAGTGGAGGGTATGTGTGTGGAGGTTGCGCGCTGCTTTCGGGCCCATTGGGGAGGCGATTTGAAGGCTTGCAGGCCCATTCTGCTCATTCCGTCGGTCCAGCTTTGGAAAGAGGTGTGATCGGCTCTAGTTGTTATGAATGTGCCTTGCCTTGCGAAACTGCTGATTGTGTGTATCCAGCTGCGCACCTGCCAGCGTTCCTCCCCAACCGCACGCTAACAAGCGCCCTGCCTCCCACCTGCTCCCTTGCAGAATACTCCCCCCCCCGCCTTTCCCCTCATTAGGTTCGTTTCCCCTCCAGCCTGCCCTGAGACACCATCACAATTATTAAAATGCTAGGTGTCCTTGGAAGAGAAAAGGGTTCAGGAGAGGGGACTGACGCCCCCATGAGAGCACGGAGGGGGCGATTCGAGGAGTGGCCAAGCCATGTCGCCGGCAGCCTCCAGACCCCGTCTCTGCCTCTTGGCACAGCTGGGTTTGCGGTGCTCGGTCACGGCTGGGATCCTGGGATCCATTGCTACTTCTTGTTGTGCAAACAAAACAAAAAAGAGGACTCCTTCCCCCTTCAAAAAAGGCACACTATGATAGTGTGGTCTTTTAGTAGCCTACCTTGTGTGACTGCAGAGGGGCTACGGAAAAGCAGATGAATGTAGGTTGGGCCCCTCAAATCCTGGTTGTGCAACCGGCCACACACTCCGTTGTGCAACTGGGGATCAACCAGGGCAGGGAGACACTTGGACGATCACCCTTACGCTCTCTGGTTCTACACTTAGCCTGGGGAAATGCCGAGGGCGGTCCTTAAGCTGTGGAATGTGCAGAATGTGGCCATCACACTCAGTAAGGTCTGCTGGGTTTCCAGGAATGAAAAAGCTGGTGGAGCGAAAGTTTCCGGAAACGGTGGCAACCCATCTCCATCAAAAGAGCAATTAAACGTACAGGATGTAAGAAATGGGCAGGTTCTTATTTGCTGGGATTTACTCAGAGTTTACGGGTTTCTCTGGATGAAAACTTTCCCTTCGGCCTTTGCATGGATGTCTTAGACGCAGAGCCTTCTACTCTAAAATCACAGCGAACATTCATCAAGTGCAGGAAAACCAAAGTGACTGCTTGCAGGGACCACCAACCTATTTCAGAGAGAAGCTCTCCAGGTCTGGACGATTACCGAACACCCAGGAGATCCTGGGTGGAATTGTGCTGGGTTTTACACCCGGCAACAAGGAATTGTGCATTTCAGTTGTGCACCTCAAACAGAGCAGGAGCTGCCCACCAGACATGCCCACAAGTGTCAGAGCATACCCTCTGGACAACTTAATTGGCCGTTGAAGACCAATTAATTTAAAAACAATTAGGAGAGGCTTCAATGTCAAAAAGCTTTATGACTTTAAGGACTCTGTTTTTTTGGTTTCCCTCCCCCTCCCTCTGATTGTCAGTTCTTGATCGGAACCAGGCAACCAAGAAGTCCAACTTCACAGGGGCTGTGAAGCCACTCCAGGTTTTTGTAGGAGCTCTCCACAAAACCTGGTTCAGACCTGGCATTGCTTGCTTTGGTTCCTGGAGTCCATTTGCTGCCTTGGGTGAAGTAAAACCTGGAATGGATTCCCAGCCCTGTGAAACTGGATCCACCTGCCATCACGGCCTTTAAGCACGCGAGGCTGGGAATTGAACGCGGGAACGTCTGCACCGTGAGGATGTGCTCAGCCACTGAACTGTGATGTCTTCCTACCAGACTTTGGGGAGAGCCCAGCAATGCAGATTGATGAAGGAGTCCCGGGTGCAAATTTCACCCCTAACAACTGCTCCACAAAAGGTGACTCACCGACTCCGGCGGTGACCTGATTTCTTTTTCTTTTTCTTCTTTGGCGGAGGTGAGGTGGAGCTGCTGGACTTCCTCTTCAGCCTACGGCGGAAAGAGAAAGAGCCGAAGGAAAAGATGAGAGATGGAAAATATCAAATTTACAAACTATATCTGTCAGCGTGGACAAGAGCAACGCAGGCTGGACAGTGTCGGCTGCTGTATTTGGAAAAAACAACATTTCCCATCTCTGTGCGGTGGGACCGTGTACTCTGCAGGATAGACATCGGTTTCTTAAAATATTATTCATCTGTCTAGTCCCCATAGAAAGGAGACAGGAGGGTACTAATACCATGGAGGTCTGGGCTGCCCCACCACACCAACCTCTCTTCAGAACTAGCATGTCAAGAAAGAGGGTTCCTGTAGAGGTGGACCATCTGGTACTAATACCATGGAGGTCTGGGCTGCCCGACAGAATACTCCTCCACACCAACCTCTTTTCAGAACTAGCATGCCAAGAAAGAGGGTTCCTGTACAGGTGGACCATCTCCTCCCTGACACACTAGATTTCTAGGTGCAGAGACTTAATTCTGTTTGTGGGCAGAACTCGGTCCTCTGCTCCCTCAGCTTCTCCTGCCTTCCCCCATGAATGAGGAGGAGGAGCGTGCATATGGAGACCCCGCAGGTAAGCCTTGCCACGCACCTGTATTCATGGTGACTACTGTCATCTCGGTAGCAGTCACTTATACAGTCACACCGAAGGGGACAGTTTTCTACGTAGTCTGCATATTCCATGGCGTACTCCTCTCGGTCCATCATGTGATGGTTTTCGATCACTCTGTCCAAGGACGGGGAGAAATACAAGAAATAAAAAAAGAATAATAAACATAGAATCCTAGAATCATGGAGTGGGAAGGGGCCCTCGAAGGCCATCAAGCCCAACCCACTGCTCAAGGCAAGGAATCCAAATCAAAGCAGATCGGACCGAGGGTGGTCCCATGTTCTCTTGAATCCTCCAGCATTGGAGTGCTCACCACCTCACGGATTCCATTGGCGTACTGCTCTAACAGTTAAGAAGTTTTTCTTGATATTCAGTTCTCAGCCCCATGCTCCAGAGCCCGGTGCTCTAACACACTGAGCTATTCCAGGACTCTACAAAATCTAGCCAGCCGTTCCACATTCTTAGGACCTTATTCTGAACTAGACACACTTCTTGCATGATCCGGGGCAGGCAGTCCTGTTTGTATTACATTACAATCCAGTGTTTTATTTTGCTGTGGATTCTGATCCCATGGACACAGTGGTCCCACTGTACTTTATCCACTACACCCGACTAACTGTCAACGACACATCAGTTTTCAAAAAAAAAATCCAAACCTTCTATTCTGACCTCCAAAATGTCTTGCCATCAACAGCTCAGCTCAGCTCTTAAAATCTGAAGCATGTAGCTTCCTTTACAGAGCCAATCCATCTCGTATTTGATCTTCCTCTTTTCCTCCTGCCTTCCACTTTTCCCAGCATTATGGTCTTTTCCAGAGAATCCAGCCTTCTCAGGATGTGCCCAAGGTAGGAAAGCCTCAGTTTCAACATTTTTGTCTCCAGAGATAGTTCAGGCTTCATTTCATCTAGGACTCACTTTTTCATCCAGCAAGCCAAGATTTCTAGGAGTACACTAAGGCATATTTTCCACACATCCCATCACAAAACAAACAAACAAACAAACAAACAAACACCATATGTGTTTTAGATATAAAGAATAATATAAGATGAGCACCATCTAGTGGCCAATGCTTGTCATTTCTGATTACTCACAAGTACAGAAATGGTTATGTTTAGAGGATTCCTTTGAAACAGGTTGGAAATGATGGATTAAAATTTGCCGTGGACTATGAGAAGCAGTTTTCTGCAGGTGAATCACTCTTTTTCTCAGGTCTGTCCCCTTGTGGTCCCTCATCTGCTGGCTTGTCTGCCTGTATTCTGAAAACTAGAGGTGGGAATGCTCCCGTTTTCAGACTACAAACCCTAGAATCCTATGACAGGAAGTCTTTAAAAAAAGAACATTTCTGATCTTTGTCGAAATCAGAAACATTTATTCACCGTGCGGCTGGCAGACACGTTGTCTGAGCGGGCTGACCCTCTTTGTCTAGCTTCCCCCAGGATGGAGTTCTGTATTCTGAAAACTAGAGGTGGGAATGCACCCGTTTTCAGACTACAAACCGTAGAATCCTATGACGGGAAGTCTTTAAAAAAGGAACATTTCTGATCTTTGTCGAAATCAGAAACATTTATTCACCGTGCGGCTGGCAGACACGTTGTCTGAGCGGGCTGACCCTCTTTGTCTAGCTTCCCCCAGGATGGAGTTGAAAAGGGGGCGGGCGGGGGGGGGGAATTGCCTCAAGCCACCAAGGACCGCCCGCCTGGCACAGCTCCCATGCTGCCTGGGAGGCGTTCAGCTCTGTGGCTCAGGGAGCTTAACCCAATTACCAGCTGAATGAATAATTGGCTGCTTTAAAGGGGCCATGAACCCCAGGGACGCTGGGCCTCAAAGCGAAGAAGAGAAATAGCTGCAGGCCAGAAAGGCTGGAAAAAGGGACAGGGCCGGAAGGCTGTTTGAGGTTTTGCCTGCTCGGGGACAGGGCGCCCCCGAAGAAGGAGGGCTTTCTTCCCCGTGAGCCTGCCCGGGCTGGGATGCTCAGATTTCTAGAAGGACACATTTACGGATCACCCACAGTGAGCTTTTTACAGCAGCCAGTCTGCAAAACCGCAGTGGAACCGATCCAATCCCATGCCCGTTTCGATACGATGAAAACAGAGCCCGTGGCTCCACGCCATGAGAGCACGAACAATGCTAGCCGGGCCAGTGACGAAGTCTTTGGAAAGGCCTGCCGGTGCTGGCCACCCAGCGACCATGTTTTTTGCCCGGGAGGTCAGCTGCCAGCCTCTCCGTTTCTCCCCGCACGACTCCCTTTCTCTTTCCACGGGTCTTGCTTGTCCAGTGGGTGTTTGCACGGCAGCTGCGGGGAACGCATGCTGGGAACAGCAGCCGTGGGGTGGGTCTCCCTGGGGGTCAACGAGGCCACGACCACCACACTCCCCCAGCCACGGATGTCCAGAGGAGAAAGGCAGAAGCCTCACCGCACTTTCAAAGGGCACCCTTATAGCCAATCCAATGAACATTCATGTTGCTCTCCCATCGTTAATTGATGACAGAGGTTCTCACATTCTTTATAACACAAGCGTCGTTGAAAGACCTACATGTCAACTACACTATTCCCACCCACTGACTTTCTTACCAACCAACCACAATCTCTGCATTGAATATCTTTATTTCGATGCCGTGTATGGATATTCGCCCTATTAAATCTCTTCATCTTATGTCTGAGGAAGTGGAAGTTTCGACAAAAGCTCACATTAAAAGTTGGTCTTTAAGGTGCCACCAGTTTTTAAAAAATCTTTAAAAACTTTTAATCTCAATTTCACTTTTACCTACAGCCCTATTTTAAAGCGCAGGAGGGCTTAATGTTGTGTTAAGTGACGGAAATGGCTTCACGCTTGACCCCGTTTCAAGACAGTGTGTTGCTCCTGCCAGGGTTCAGAGCATCTCGCTCCCCCCAGATTTCAGGCTGAGCACCCGAGGCCATGGGAGGAGGTCCTTGTGAGGCCACAGAGGCAGGAGAGGCAGGGTGTCCAGGGTTCAAATCCACCTGTTTGATTTTACCCATCTCTGGAATGAAATGTCTTTCTTTGCTTACTCAAACCCCTCCTTAAGCCAAACAACCCCAGATTTGTCACCTTTAAGTGCACAAGGTTGGGGGATGATTTTCCTAAGAAGACCTTAGGGTCCTATCGAAGGGAAGCCGGGAGGAATCAGAGCTGCCCAGGAGGACCACCAGCTCATGAGGAAAAAGCTCAGGACAATGGAAAAGATAAGCCAGAATGAGCACTGTTTTCGGTCCGGGTATGGTATGTTCTGGATCTTCAGCTTCTCAAGATGATCACACTTTCCTTTGAGGGCCACAGTTTCCCTCTTGCAGCTTTCCTTAGCCTTCCTCATCCCTAGGGTGGCCCTCGGTCCTCCTTGATAGGATCCACCAGGAGGCCTGGAAGGTCTCCTCCATTTGAAGGGCCAGCCAGACTATGTTTGAATCAAAGATGGAGAAGCGGAAAGGACTCAAGTCAGGGACTCAAGAGTTGCCCATGGTCCACTGGACGGTAAACTCAGGAGCAAGTTTGCAGGGCACCCAGTCATCATCTTTCCCATGTGGGGAAGGTAAAGAGGAAACGCTGCCCTTTATAGAGCTCATGGGTCATTGCATAAAATTAGCATAGTATGTACTTTTATGCAAACTTCTTCCGTGCTCCTTTTTGGCATCAAAGGTTGTCCCAAAAGTTGTCCCGATGACAGGACCTTCATTTGGACAACCCAGGTTCTTCCCTGATGCATTAACACCCCACCCCCACCCCCGTTGCCTCAGCCCTAATGAGGCATTAGCTTCTCGTGACTCAACCAGGTCTATTCTGGTCCCTGAATGACCTGCTTTCTCCTTTCCCTGCTCTGCCCGCCCCCTACCCACCCTGACCGCGGCCTGGTTGATGGATTCTAATGGATTATAATAATAATCTTGGAACAGCAGAGCTGGAAGGGACCCTGTGGGATCATCCAGTCCAGCCCCTGTCAAGGAGCCCCGGGGGGTGGGGTGGGGAATTGAACTCTCAACTTCCAGCCCCTGTCAAGGAGGCCCGGGGGTGTGTGTTGGGGAATTGAACTCTCAACCTCTGGCACAGCAGCCAGAGACCTCAACCCCAGCATTTCTTTCTCACCAACAGACGGCCAACTCCTGTTTGAACCGCGATGCACCTCCCTTCCTTAGCCCGTCTCCTGACTACAGAAATAAAGGAATCAATGTAGGTTACTGTGGTTGTGCACCATCAATTTACTTCCAATTCATACACCCATAACAGGGTGTTCAAGGTCTGCTCCAGAAGTGGTGGACCACTGCCACCTCCCAATGAGTTTCCATGACCAAGTGGGGATTCGAACTCAGGGTCTCCTGGTCCAACAGTCTACTAGCTACACTCCACTGGCTCTTGTGGGTGATTCTAGTGCAGTGGCTCCCAACCTTGGGTCTCCAGATGTTCTTGGACTAAAATTCCCAGACGCCTTCACCATGCGCTGTGCTGGCTAAGACTTCTGGGAGTTGTAGTCCAAGAACACCTGGGGACCCAAGGATGGGAACGTCTGTTCTAGTATTACAAAACTCATGATTATGTTTTGGATTGACAATGACAATGATGACGACAATGATGATGACACCTTCTCCCATACAACCACAAGGAAGTGCATATGGCTGCCTTTCTCCCTGCTTTATCCTGACATCAGCCCTCCGAGGTAGGTCATCCTCCGAGCTGGCCTGGTTTTGCTGGGAAGTGGTGTTCTGGGGAAAAAGTTCCTTTTTTCTTCAGACTTTGGAAATGTCTATCCCCCCCCCCACCCGGTGTGATTGGTTTAAGGACCATAACAATAAACTGTAACCTTAATGTCAAACTCTGCATGGCAGGAGAGACATGGTTTTGGGGAACTGGCAAATTTATTTCTTTTGCCTTTGTATACAAGTGACATTTCTATCCCAACTTTACTCCACGGGGGTCAAAGTGCAACACAAAAGCGTTCCTTCTCCTCACGTTGTCCCAACAACTCTGGGAGGTTGGCCGGGATGAGAGAGATGGGACGAGACTTCCCCAAAGGTCATCGGCTGACCTCCGTGGGTCCCATTTGAAAGGCCACCCGCCGTGTATCAGCTTTAATGTGAAAGAAGCAGAAGGAGAAACTAGGGGCCTGGATGGTACCCATCATCCACGGTCAACAATGCCTGGAGGGCTGACTCAGCAAGCCCCCAAGGATCCACCAGGTGGACAGATGGTCATTCTGCATCAGTTAGAAACAGCGTTTCTAAATTGATTGATTGATTGATTGATTGATTGATTGATTGATTGATTGATTGATTGATTGATTGATTGACTGATTGACTGATTGATTGATACCCTGCCTATCTGGTCTACTCGACCACTCTAGGCAGCTTCCAGTATAGGATAAAACAAAACAAAAAAACACATAATTTTGCACCCATGCATCTACATGAGCACAACTGGTGTCTTCTTTTGCTCCCTATTTGGGTGACCTCGGTCCTTTTCTTCTTGGAGGTGTCTAACCAGACCAGGAGAAACCCAGCCGGACTACTCACATGTGGCGTCCGTGCTGATCTTCCCGGGTGAGCACGCCTTCCTTTTCCATCAGCATCTGTCGGAAAGTCCCCACTTTCTGGCGGATCTCCTCCTCAGAGTATCTGCATCGCAAGACCAAAGAGGGAAGAGAGGTCAGCAACTTCAACCACTCAATTAAGCTTCGGGTTTGGCTTCCCAAGTAGGAGGCCCTTCTGAATATCACGGAGCGTGGAGGCTGTTGTTTCAGATGGAGATCCAGGACCGGCTCTCCTGTAGAGTGAGCTGCCTGCCTCGGGCAGCAGATAACAAGAGACGGCCACAAGTTCAGCTGCCCTGTGTTCCTTAAGCTGCCCTCAAGGATGATACAGGATGCTGTCCCATCAGCAGGACGTGGACTTGGAAGAGCTCTCTAAGGCCACCACGTCCGACCCCCTGGCTCAAGGCAGGAATCCAGATCAGAGCAGATCTGACAGAGGGCTGCCCAGTTTTCTCTTCAAAGCCTCAAAGGTTGGAAAGCTCACTATCTCCCGAGCAAAGCTGGTTCCCTTGTCGTACTGCTCTAACAAGAGGTTTTTCTTGATATTCAGCCTAAATCTGGCTTCTTATAGCCTGAGCCCATTCTGACCGGTCCTGAACTCTGGTTTGGGACAGTATTTTGTGGGGACAATATTTCATGACTGGTTCTGGCCAGCTAGCCATGGTTGTGAAACCCTCCCCAAATGTCTAGTCATCCCCATTAGCACGTCATGATTTTATTTACCCCCAAAAGCTGCCACCAGGAGCTGTCCAGAGTCCTGAAACCATTCTCATCCACTGCGTTGCTCCTGTGAAATCACATCAAGGGCATTGGCTGCTCTCTGAGCCTAATCTTGTTTTCGGCAGGGACGGCATCTAAGCTCCATCTAGACTGCCTTGATCCGAGAAAACTGTTTATTTATTTCATTTATAGGCTGCCTATCTGGCCAAAGGCTACTCTGGGCGGTTTAGACGGCGCAAATAAAATAACCATCAAACACCATAAAAAATAATTAAAATTTAAAAACTGAAAATACATTTCATATATATAATGTATTTTAATATACATTTAAAATGGTAGTAGATCTCATTACTTAAAATGATTTTCTTTTTGAATTTTTATTTGAATATTTTGTTTTATTTTATTTTATTAATTTTTTTAAAAAAAATTGAATTGGTTGTGTCAGGAGAAGATATTTTCCTGTACACACCCAATTGAATTTTTTAAAAAATATAATAAAATGAAATAAAATATTCAAATAAAAATTCAAAATATCTACAGGAGAAGAAATTTTCCTGTAGCTAATATCTACAGGTGAAGATATTTTCCAGTAGCTTCACCTATGCTTTGGAATCCTTTCTCAAGTCCCTATGAATGAGGACATGCAGGGATTCAGGAGGTGGTATATGTTCCAATTCTTTTACTGGACTTTTTGTTATTAAATTGCTATTCCTCCATTTACACCAGTAAGCTTTGGTTATTTGTTTAAATATCACCCTTTTCCATTTTTACTATGTATATGAAATATTTTGTGGTTCAGATTGTTGCAATTCATACACATGTGATGTCTGTTAGAACTGTGATCTGTGCCATTCCACATTCCTTCGGACAGAACCGGACAGTAGAACCCCTGTATCCATGGGGGAGTCATTCCAAGCCTCTGATGGATGCTGAAAACAGCAAATAATAGTGAATGCTATATGTAGCATTGTCTGAGAAAAAAATTCAGAAAAAAATATTTTCCCATGTTTTACCAAAACTGGCCATTAGAGGGAGCCAGAGACCATGCTATGTATTCTTCACGAATATATAGCATGGTCTCTGGCTCCCTCTAGTGACCAGTCCTGGTACATATATTGTGTAAATACATATTTCTAGGGCCTTTTTCCTTTTAATATTTTAATGTTTTTAGTCTGCAGTTAAGTGAACTGTGGATACCGATCCCATGGATATGAGGGTCCTTCAGCATATAAATCCATTTATTCATTCATTGAAACAATCAGCAAATCATGATGTGGTAGGATCTCCTGATGGACCATCATGCCCACCCTTCGGCCCCACGACTGGACTGCATTGGACATAGTGGAACATTATTTAGGTTGTTGTTTATTATTATTTTAAGTTGGAAGCATAGTGTGGGCCACTCTCTGTGATCCTGTGAGGCAGAGGCAACCCCTGAGTCTCTGGACTTTCCCCCCACTGGTCTTCATGCTTCCAAAACAGAACCATAAACTTAGCTCCACAGCCACTGTGGATCATCCATTCCATGTGCCATGTGTGCAGAAGCCATGGCTCAATGGCCCCATGAGTGCTCTACCTTCTGTGTTTCACACTGATCTACTCTCAGAACTGTGGCCCTTATGTATCACCGGAGATCTTCCTCCCCCCGACCCCCCACCCCGCATCTCAGGATGCCTGATGCAAAGTTCCAAGAAACTTCAAACGTCCTTTAAAAAGGGGATTGAAAATGAAACAGCCAACATTCTATTCCATTGTACAAATGCTGGTAAGGCCAAACCAGGAGTATTGCATACAGTTCTGGTCACCGTAACTCAAAAAAAGGCAGGGTAGAACTGGAAAAGGTGCAGAAGAGAGTGACTCACATGATGTCTGGGTTGGGGCACTTCCCTGATGAGGAAAGATGACAGTGTTTGGGGCTCTTGAGTCTATAGAAAAGGCGCCTGAGGGGGGACTTGATGGAGACATATAAGATTATGCAGGGGATGGATGAAGTGGATAGAGGGAAGCTCTTTTCCCTCTCACACAGTACTAGAACCAGGGGACATCCACTCCAATTGAGTGTTGGGAGAGTGAGAACAGAAAAAAGATTTCTTTATCCAGCATGTTGTCTGTGGAACTCCTTGCTACAGGATCTGGTGATGGCAACTGGCCTAGATGCCTTTAAAAGGGGATGGGACAGATTCCTGGAGGAAAAGTCCATCACTGGTAACAAGTCATGATGGGGATGTACAATCTCCAGGCTTAAAAGGAAGTTACCTCCAAATGCCAGATGCACGGGGAGAGGGATCAGGAGACAGGGATCTCGTGGTCTCTCCTGCGCTCCCAGAGGCATCTGGTGAGGCCACGGTGAGATCCAGGAAGCTGGACCAGATGGGCCGTTGGCCTGATCCGGCAGGGCTCTTCTTATGTTCTTATGTCCACCTTGTTTCTCA